CATCCAAAGTAGGTGCTACTGTTATCCTCTCATAACTCACTTAATCCCCATAGCAACCCAATAAAGTAGACTGTGTTATTAGGCCCATTTTACAGATGAAAAAATGAAGTTAAGTAATTTGTCCGCGGTCATACAACTAGTAAGTAGGAGAGCTGCGATTCAGAATCCATGTTCTTAACCACTGTGGTAGGCTCAGTAATGGCCCTCAATGATATCCAGACCCTAATTCTCTGGAGCCTGTGAATATTAACTGATATGGCAAAAGGGATTTTGCAGAAGGGACTAAATTAAGGATTTTGAGATGGGGAGATAGATTATCCTGGATTATCCAGTTGGGCCTTAAATGAAATCATGGGTGTCCTTATGAGGGAGATAGCAGGAGATTTGGCAGGAAAAGGCATATGACAATGGAAGCAGAGAAAGAGATTTGAAGATTCTGTGTTGCTGGCTTTGAAGATGGAGGAAGGGGCCCTGGGCCAAGGAATGTAGCTCTAGAAGCTAGGGAAAATGGATTCTCCCCTAGGGCCTCCAAAGGAAGCACAGCTCTGCCAATGCCTTGGCTTTTGGTTTTGGTCCATTGAAACTATTTCATCCTTTGAGGTCCAGAACTGTAAGATAAATTAGTGTTGTTTTAAGCCATGAAATTTGTGGTAATTTGTTGTAGCAGCAATAGGAAACTAATACAGCCATTATGCTATGAATGAAGGTATTAGTTATTGTTAAGCTTTTTATTATAAGAGCCCTTTCCCAGAATCTGTGAAGGAACTAGCTTCAGGAATAATCTCCCTTAGCAGTCCTGTTTGTGACACTTGTCACTTCATTGCTTAATCCTTATCTCTTTCTATATGAAGATTATTCGGAAGTAATCTTTAGGCTACATCTATGCAAACAGGGTAGGCATTCTGGGCTCACAGCTGACTGTTAAGGCAGAAACTTAAGAAACATTAGGCACAGGACATCATCTTTTCTTCAGCCCAAGTGAGAGGGAAGCTAGAGGGAATGAGCATTTGAATGGATGTCAGGTACCAGGCTAGGAATTTCTAGTCTTCATTTAGTCCTCATCCCTTACCCTTCCTGTAAAGAGTAGTTAATTGTTACTCCCACCTTGACAATTAGGAACTGTTAAATAATGTGCTCAGAGCCTGAAAATCAGTAAATAAGATAAAATTCAGGTGTGTCTAATACCAAGGTACATACATTGTCCTATACTCAGCATACTAATCCTCTGAGGAGCTCAGCTCTAGAACAGGGTGTATCCAAAGGGTTTACTTAGTTCTAAAGAGTCATCAGGAAGAACATATCACTTTCAGATTACCTCTGACCTGATGCACATTGTGAAGGTTGGGAAGGTTCCTGGATTGCCCTGCATGACTCTGGAGGTGGACTTAGTTCCTTGGTTTTCTTTATTCTTGTATGTGAAAGTTAAGAACAAATCATTAACAAAACCTCTAAAACTAATTAAAGAGCAATTCACTAGAGCAAAGATCTAGCATTCATAGTTGAAACTTATATAGATTTTTTGTGTTCCTATGTGATATATGTAAATATAAAAATCAAAAAATTTTTAAAAACTCCAAAACAAAAAACCAGGAATCATACTGTAAATATAAGATTAAACCAGCCAATGTGTAACAGAGTGGTAGTGGCAGGCAGAAAGTCTCAAAGTTATCATTAGATTTTCACAATGGTCTTTTATCACAATATGATTGAGAACCACAGTTTTTTTTAGGAACCAATTTGGGAGGCACTTTGCTTTTATCACTTTTCATCCTCCCCCTCCTGCTTCTTCTCTTCTTTTTCTTTCTTCCTTTCTTATCTTCCCTCCCCTCTCCACTTCCTTCTTCACAAGCAGATTTCTAACTTACAACTTAAAAAAAAATGCTTTCTTAGAAATTGAAAATAACTTTTAAATACGCTTGTAGGTGTAGAAAGTAGAAGTCTGTTCTTTACTGAAATTCTTTTAGCGATAATGATCTAATCACAAGTATATCTAAATGTTGAGGGTTCCCTGTTTCAGAAGTTGGTCTAGGAACTTATTGATTTAATAGATGGTTGAATTATTTTACTACTAGATCAGGAGTTGGAATACTTTCCCTGTAAAGGGTCAGATAGTAAATATTTTAGGCTTTGCCTGGCTATAGGGTCTCTGTCACAATGACTAAGTTCTGCCATCGTATCATGAAAGCAACGGATTGACAACACATAAACAAATGAGCATTGCTGTGTTCCAGTGAAACTTTATTCAGAGACACTGAAATTTGAATTTCATATAATTGTCACATATCATGAAACATTTTAGCTTTGATTTTTTTCCAACCATTTAAAAATGTGAAACCTATTCTTAGCTCACAGGTTATAGAAAACAGGTGGCAGGTCAAATTCAGTCAGTAGGTTACCGACTCTGTACTACATAGCCTATTAGACAGTAGCATGTTTATTCTTTTATTTACATTGCCATTCTATTTTTAAAAATAGATCACTGGATTCATAATCTGTGAATTTGGGTCTCTAAAGTATTATAATTTAAAAGACCTTGATAAAAATTACATGTGACATGGAGACTTACATAGCAGATCATTTTTGGTTGCCTACTCAAGAATCATCATTGATTCTTTAGTTGAGATTTTGTTTTGAGATTTTGTTCAGATTCCTGATGTTCAAATATTCAGGGAAGTTGCTTTCTTTCTCCTCCTGATTTCCAGGGGTGGACAAGTCTTTATTGGTTTGATCCCATTTTATTTCCATTCCCCTTGCAGTGGTTTATTTGGGCATGGCAATTTGGACAATCAGATAGTACATGGGGAAGAGTTTAATTGCATATAATAATAGGCTGATCTTGAATATGAAAATGAGTATTTGACAACTGGAATTAAAATCAACATACCTAAACAAATACTTTTGATCTTTACTTCACATTGCACTGGCTAGGGCAGATTGCTATATTGGCAAACATGTTTCAAGAAAATAGTTATATATGTAAAATAGAATTTAAGAAATTTTTTTAAATGTATAATTCAAATATAGAAAAATTTTTGTTATGCCAACACAAAATTATAAGCTTTTGGAGGAAGGACTGTTTTTTGTTATGTTGGATTTTTTGTGTATATTTTTTCACTTATGAAGTATAAAAACAGCAACACTATGCCAGTAACCACAGAAGTTTTTGAAATTTTACTGGTCCGTGGAAATCTGAAAGCCTAGATGTTGGAAATATTGGTCTACACTCACTAAACTCCATTCTTACCGTCTTTCTTGATTACTTGCAGCCTGGCTTTGGACCTAACCTCTTGGTTGACCTGGTTTCCAGAAGGTTACTGTTGATTTTATGGTCTTCTTATGCCACCTCTTTGAAACCAAGTAACTCTTGACTTCTCTGTAATGTTTAATTCTGTTGCGCATTCTGTCTCAGAAATTCTTTCCCTGGTATTTGCTGAGAGTGCCTCTCTGTGCTACCTCTGTGACCATTTTCAGTCTCCTTTAACGCTTTTATTTTGGGCTTTTCTATTTCTTGTGGGTGACTCTTGTAAAAGCACTGAATGTTTATGATGCCTGTAAATAGTAGGCATGAGAACAAATTAGCCATAAATAGAAGCTGCAAGTTGCCAAGTAGACACTATTTAGTAGAGACTGTCTTTTGATATAAAGCTAGGCTTGTAGTTAATATTGAACAGTTTTCTTAACTGGTAACAATTGTTTTTTTTTAAAGTGCACACCTATGCATTGTAGTCCTTCATATGAACTGTTATCAAACTATTTTTATAGATATTTTGATTCCAGTTCTGTGTATATGCTTTAAAAAAAGAAAATATCGTATGGGCATCCTTATACATACATCTTAGCATACTCTTTGAGTATATCCATCACATAAATTCCTAATGGTAGAATTGTTAAATTATGGTATATATGCATTGGAAAGTTTGGTAAGCATTGCCAAATAGCCTTTCTGAAAGCTTGTATCAATTTGCACTTTTATCCACAGTATGAGTGCTGCATTCTCCATACCCTCTAACTTCATGTTTACTAATCTAATGGATGAAAAATATTTTCTATACATTTTTATTGATTTTAATTTTAAGTGAGGTCGACATCTTTTATTTAAGTGATTTTCAACTGGGGACAGTTTTGTCCTCCAGGGGACGTCTGATAATGTCTGGAGATATTCTGAGCTGTTAAAACTGGGAGAGAGTCTGGGGAGAGGATTCTGCTGGCATGCTGCTGAACATCCTGCAGTACACATGACAGAATATTATCTAGCCCCAAATATCAGTAGTTCCACGGTTGAGAAATCCAGCTTTATGTTATTCCATTTCATCTCCTTTGTTGGTTTATTATCTATAATTCTTGAATTATTTTATTGGTTGCTTCAGGGCTTGTAGTATACATTTTAAAATTTATCATAGTTTACTTCTGAGTTATATTTTACTAATTCATATATAGTATAAACACCTTGCAACAGTATATTCCCATTTTTCTTCTCCAGGCCTTTATGCTATTGTTTTAATATATTTTACTTCTTTGCATGTTATAAAACCCACAAAGTTTTATTATTATTTTACTTTGAACAGTTGATTATCTTTAAAATTTTTAAACAGCTTTAATGAATTATAATTTACATTAGATTGCACACATTTCCAATATACAATTTGGTAAGTTTTGACATATGTATATATTTGTGAAACTATCATCACAATCAAAATAATGAACATATTTCTCATCCCCCAAACTTTTCTGCACCTTGATAATCCCTACTCAACCCCAGGCAACCACTGATCTGCTTTCTGTCACTATAGATAAATTTACATTTTCTAGAATTTTATATAAATGGAATCATAAACTTTATTTGTCTGACTTCTTTCATCCAGCATAACTATTTTGAGATTTATCCATGTGGTGTGTATCATTAGGAAAACATTCTTAATGACAGACATTCCGGGTAATTGGACTGCCGTTATTAAAGACCTGCTGAATTCTGAAGTCACCTGATGTGTTCTTTGTTTTAGGTCATGACCATCCAAGGTATGATAATCACATGAGAACACTCATTGCTCCAGATGTCATTTGACTCATCAGAAAAAATCTGTTTAAAAGAAAATATCCATTTGACCAGATCCTTTCTTTATTGAATGGCTTGATGGCTTCTCTTTCCTCTGATTCAAACCAAAGCTGTCCTTCTCAACCAAAGCAAAAAAGGAGCTTGCATGAATCAATCCCAGAATGCCAATTTTACATCACCGACAGGTGAAGAAAACCTCATGAATATCAATCACAGAGACTCAGAGAGCATCACTGGTGAGTGCAGTCTAATAAATAAAGTGCTATTGCATACGGGATAAAATTTGTGTAAGACCTGCCATAATGAAACCCAGCTTCCCTTTCCAGCCTGATCTCCTCAGAGACCAACTGAATTAATATCTTTTTTTCCCTGGTCTCCTAACACATTATCAAAATCTGCCCTGCGTGTTGTTTGTTGTCTAAATCTCACTCCCTGTACGCGTGAGCCCTGGTCAGTAGGAACTGCGTTCATTATATTCCTCTCCCTATCTTGTCTTCCTATTCCTGTCTTCCCATCTCCACAAGGACAGAGGTGCTTGTGTTTCTATGCCCTGCAGGAACCTGACTACAATACCTGTACATAAGAAGCTCTCATGGCATACAGTGTATGCAAACACAGGTGCAGCCCCATAAGTCCTTATCTGCAAGACTGAAAAAACTATACACCCAGTTTTTTCTGAAATTTGTTTGTAAAACTCATCGGTCCACAAAACCTGACCTATGCAGCTGTTTCTAGACTTATCTCATTTAGTTTAAATATTTATGTTTGCTGAAAGTATATTAATATATTTAAATATGGGGTGCTGCTACAAAACCATTTGGAGATGTTATGTAACATACAGTAAATGGACGGTATTACTTTTCTAAAACTCCATAAAATTCTGAAACCCATCTAAACCCAAAGATTTTCTCCCCATTTTGTATTCAGCTTTATTGAGATATTTGCATTAGGATACAATAAAATGGACCCATTAAGTGTACAGTTTGGTTTGACAAATATATTCAGTCATGTAACCACTAGTACAATCAAGTTGTAGAACATTTTTATTATCCCCCAAAGTTCCCTTTTACCAAAGTCTCCTCCCCCTTCAACTGCTGACTCCAGGCAACTAGCAGTGTGCTTTTCTGTTACTATAGGTAAAATTGGCTTGTTCTACAATTTCATATAAATTAATCTGTGTCTTTTGTATCTGCTTTTTTAATGAAGCAAAGTGTTTTTGAGATTTATCTACGTTGTAGTATGTGTCAACAGTTCATTAGTTTTTATTGCCAAGTTACAACAACTAAACTCTGTCCTTATAGTAGTAAAGCACCCATCGACAGTATGTAAAAGAACAAATGAAATTGTGTTTCAATAAAACTTGATTGGCAAAACTAGGCAGAGGCAGCAGGCTCCAACTGGCCTGTGAGCCATAGTTTGCTTACCTCTGCTTGACAGCATCAGCACTTGGTAATGTCAGTGTTTTTGATTCTAACCATTCTAGCAGATATGTACTGCTATCTCTGTGGTTCTAACTTATTTTTCCTTGATGACTAATGATGTTGAGTATCTTTTCTTGTGTTTATTGGCTATTTCTAGATCTTATTTTGAGTTGTCTATTTAAATCATTGGCCCATTTTTATATTTGTCTTACTGTTGAATTGCAAATGTTCTTTATTATTCTAGATGTAAATCCTTTGTTAGATAAATGGGTTGCACATATTTTCTTCCAGATTGTGGCTTGTTTTTCCATCTTCTTAATGGTGTCTTTTTGTAGAGCAAAAATTTTAAGTTTTGGTGAAGCCTCATTATCAGTTTTTGCTTTTATAGTTCATATTTTTTTGTGTATTTCTAAGATATCTTTGCATACTTCAAGATCACAAAGATATTCTCTTTTGTTTTCTTTTTAAAATTTTATAGTTTTTGCTTTTATATTTAGGTCAACAGTCCATTTTATAATCAACTTTGAGTATAGAATGAGGTTAGGGTCCAGATTTTGTTTTCCCCAATTGAATGTTTAGTTGTTCCTACACCATTTGTTGACAACATTATCTTTTACCCTATTGAATTACCTTGGTAATTTTATTGAAAAATCGCTTGATGATGTATGTTTGAGTCTATTTCTGGACTCTTCATTCTGTTCCTTTAATCCCTAAGTCTATCTTTCTGTAAATATCACATTGTCTTGATTACTGTAACTCTATAGTAAATCTTGAATTCAGGTAGTATAAATTCTTGGTCTTTGTTCTCTTTTAAAAATTATTTTGGCCATTCTAGATATTTCACATTTCCATATAAATTTTGAAACCAGACTGTCAATTTCAACCAAAAAAAAGTGGTGGAATTTTGAATGGAATTATGTAAACTTCATAGACAATTGACAGTATTATGGGGCCTATTTCTGTTGATTCATTTTCCAACTAGTAATGGGTTACAATTCGCTTGTTCTTTCCACATCTAGTAATTTTTTTATCAAATGCAGAATATTTTGAACGTTATGTTCTTTGGTGTCTGAATTTTGTTGTCTTCCTAGGAAGACTTTTACTGTTTAGCAAGTCCTTGAGTTACTTGCTGATGAGGTCAGTCCTTTGGGGGTTTGTTTTTAATCTTTGTTATCTGAGCCTCTAGATCACACTTTAAACCATACTCTAATGTGCTTTATTCTAGCATTAATTTAACACTACTGCCAGTGGACACGACTCTCCTAGGACCGTTACTGATTGTCCCAGCTATTCATAGGTTTTTCTACTCTGGCTGCATGAAATCCAGACCTCTCTTAGCTTTGTGTGGGAGAATGATATAATAAGATATGAAGATGTGGAGGAAAATATCAGTGTAATGAGGACAGACCAGTTTTGAGGTCATATTCAAGAGAAATAAGAGGAGGCCTTGAACCTAAGTGGAGGTAATGTGGCTAGAAAGAAGTGAGCATAAGGAAAAGAAATTTGGATGGTAAAAACGTAGTGAGGGGGCTGTTAAGACTAGACAATCAGGAAAGCAGTAAGTGGCACATTATCAGAAATACAGAAACAAATAGGAAGAGCTGGTCTGAAGAATATTTAGTTGAATCTATGAAACCTTGATTGAATGCTGATTTTTAAAATTACCTTTTGGAAGTAAGGAATTGGATTTTCACAGAATGCCGTTAATTTTTATTAAAAGAAAATGTCTAGGGAATAGTAGTTCTTTTAATGAATGTTTTTTCTTCTTCATTTTCATTATACCCTTGCAGGCCTAAGAGTCTCTTTCAAGATCTGCACGTATTTAGTCACCTCTTCCTGCAAGTATTACAGTGACAATCTGTAGGTGACACATTTGTGGCTGGAAAAGTTTGAATAGTCACATGAAATTCATAGTAATAGAATTTGTATGTATTTTCAGAGCTTTTATTTAAGAGGTCCACTAAGGGTTGAGAGAAGCTTCTTTAGAACTATATTTAGTACCTCCTCTCTGTGATTATGTACCTCGTTCTTCATAGTTATGAAGCCTCTGCTTGTCCTTCTGGGTGAATAGGATTGTCATATTTTCAGCCTCCTCGTATTTGATTTGATTAATGTCAGCATTGTTAAGGTTAAGTAGTTGAGACTTACTCTCTTAAGGTATGTTTTCTTTAAATGTTTGTTATTCTTTGTTGTTGTTTACCAGAGTTTAAAACATGTTTCTTTAGGCTTCCCACAAAGGAAATACCAGATCTCTTTTAATAACGAGAGGGTTGGAATGACATCCTGTATTTTTTCTATTTTTAGGCCCTAGTATTTCAAGCATGTTAAAAGGGATAACTTTTTTTTTTTTTTTTTGGAAACTGCTAAATTTGGGAGGTGTTAAATGATGAGCAGTATTTAGAACAAGAAGCCAGGAGCAAGCACGTAAAGGCAGAGAGGCCCAAATGTGTTCAGAGTTGTGTATGCAGGAGGAGTTAGAGGTGTGCAGATGCGAGAGTAGTAATGTGAAAGGTATTCAGGACTTTAAAGGTATCATATCTCTAAAATAAAAATGATTAAGTACTTATTCCAGTGCCAGTGCTACAGCACTGTGCTGGAATGTTAACATTACTATATAACATTTAACCAGTAAACATTCATTTCTTTTTATATCTAGCTGCTGTGAGAGTATACTAAAATGTAATTTTTCCAGATTTTGAAGAATCCTCCCACAGAATTCAAATTCTATTAATGAAGGCTATATAATTTTATTCCTTTTGAACTGGCTATTTGCTACTGGTTGTTTTGTGTTGCCTTTTTCCTCCAAGCATATAAGTCATTTGAGATCAGATCTCTTTTAAGCAGCACTAAACAGATTGATAAGGAGGAAATAAGAAATTTGTCCAAATTCATTTAAACTATAGAAACATAGGTATACCCCCTAAGCAATATATTTTTAGATAAGGTGTAATTAGAGTAAAAATCACAGGTGAAACGATCTTGACTAATGTTTGTTTGGTTATCCTACGTCCACAGAACTAATTTCACCGATTTTCCTCTGTAGCTACGTGAATTAAAATATGTTGGATTCATTTACATGGACTCTCTTCTTTAGATGTCTGCTCCAATGAAGATCTCCCTGAAGTTGAACTGGTAAGCCTGCTGGAAGAACAGCTACCCCAATATAAGCTGAGAGTGGACTCTCTCTTTCTATATGAAAATCAAGACTGGACTCAGTCCCCACAACAGCAGCAGCATGCGTCTGATGACCTCTCTCCAGTCCTTGCTGAAGAGACTTTCCGTTATATGAGTGAGTATTTTAGAGTCTGTCCATTGTACTAAAGATCATGTGTGTCTTGGTGTTGAATTTTAAAACGTTTGACGTCCCTAGCCATTGTTCAGTGTGTACCTACTTTAACTTGAACTGATTTAACAACACAAAGAAATGATCCTAATTGTGTTACATCTGAACACAGAAAGCTTATCATTCTTATGACTGTGTGTCCAGGGTTGCAAGCACACTCAGAGTTTCCCATTTCTCCCACCTTTTACTTGATACTTTCCTCTGACTGAGTAGAAAAAGGAACTCTTTCTAAAAAGTAGTGAAAGTATTTAAAATTGTAATATTCCTTTATATCTCTCAACACATATTATTTTAATAAGTTTAATATCTTGAGCCATCAACTTTTTGACTCATATCTTCCCTATTAAACAGGCATAAATCACACGAACTTGTCAAGTCATTAAAAAGTATAGTTCTTGGATATGTAAGGAGTTTTAATAATGCCAAGAAGAAATAAGTGCACACTATATAGTAATCATCATTTACTTAAGGATTCAGAGAGAATATTTCAGTGAGAAACTAAGCCAAATTTGTCCTGAAAATAAGTACGTTATACACCAAGCTCTTAAAAGTGAGAAAACTAAATAACTTTAAAATAAAATAACTTTATTTTTAAACTTTAAAATAGGGAGTTTGTTTGTTTGTTTGTTTGTTTTTGAGTTGTGGGTTAAAGGAGATCATTTTTGCTTTTGACTTTTTGGAATGCAGATTCCAAAAATCTGCATTCAGCTGAGCTTACTTTTTTTTATTCATTCATTATAAAGATATATGTGTAGTAGCTGTTAAATATGTAATAAACCTCTAAGTTCAATATTGTGTTTTTATAAAGTTACTTTCATTTGAATTAGATATGAGATTCTATCAAGCCCTCAATATTTTCCCAATGGGCGCTTTGCTATTTTTAAAGATTCTAGCTGGAGAATGATTTTTGTTGTGAAATCCTCATTTTCATAGTAATCATTAACTTGCTTTTATTAGTACTTTCCTATAACCAGATTACTTACTGCTCAGAAAAAGAATTGTAAACCTTTTTTAAACTTGAATTGGAAACTCAAAACTATTTCTGTCCTCGAGAAATCTTTTAAGTAACTGAATACTAAATTAAGGCTTTTAGCCTCTTATCCAGAGCATTGTTGACCAAAGCCATCTGGCCATTTCACTGTGATATTAATTGGAGAATTTAAGGAATTAGGGAGGGTGTAAAATTTTGCAGGGAAATATAGTTGTAGAAATTATTACTTCCGGTAGATAGTTATACTTTTCCTCAAGCTCTGCCCTCAAAAATCATTAATCTGTATTGGCAGGGAAAGAAATATAACTGATAATATTCGGGAAGCATTAATCTTCAGTCGAGTTGGAGAGGTTAGCAGATTTATAATCCTCTCAACTAGTTCCACAGAAGAATTAAGTCATATGCCCTAAGACATCTATTGTAGAAGGGATTACCTTATCCCCTATGTGTCATGTACTAGCTAGGTATTATTCCTGGGAGAACTGAGAAAATTGTCACTCACATCATTATCTATAGGACTTAATTCTCCCCTGGAACCCTGCTGAGAAGGGCTGTCCTAGACAGCGTATATCATCAGCCTCCTTTATTCTGTCTCAGTTCTTTTGAAGGCAATTTTGTTTGTTTGTTTGTTTGTTTGTTTGTTTTATTGTAGAAATATTCTCTGTATTATAGCAGCAAGAACCACTTCTTTGGGGTTAAAACCTCAAGACTTGTCTGTAGTTATCAGGAACTATGCAGTTTTTACTCTGCCACACGGGCAGCATTTGTGTATCATTTTTGGGTTTTGGTGTAGGAGGGCTGGAGAATGATGAAAGATTAGAAGTCTCTTCAAATTAGGTAATTGTGGTAAAAACTCTAGATCTTGAAAAAGGACATATGAGAGAACTATTCAAGTTCTCATATAAATGACAGGGGTGTCAAAATGGATTAACATTGGCATTTTCCATCTGAAAATATTTGGAGGATGGTTGATGTGAGATTATGTATCCATAACATAAAATAAGAATTAGCAAAGTGCTTATGTATATCTACCCCCCATGTTTTCTCAGAAACATTAGATTCTCCAAATATTAAATATAAATGTTGAACATTAATTAACAACCTTTGGAAACCAAAATGGTTGTGTAAAATGTTTATCCTCTCCCTGATGTATAAAATTTTTTTAGGGAGTTAGAAAGGTGATGTCTGGAGTCAACCAAGGAACATTGCTAATTTCTGTACCATTTAACATATTTTTATTTTAACCTTTGAGAACTAAAGGGAAAACAGGACTTGATAGGATTCGTTATAATAAAGTTAACCTGCTAAGCTCTGCATTCTTGATTACAGAATTAGAGTGAAGAATTAGTCTGTCGCGTTGGAAGCATTTAATCACAATGTCTAAATGCCAAGAGGGCACTTAAGAGCTTTGCCATGAGTACTTTTGGAATCTCCCCAAGCAGCCTGTCTTTATCAGGAGTATTGTGTTAAAGAAGAGAAGACAGAGCTGATCAGGCTGCAGAGAGGAATCCGTTGTGTTCCTACATACTTTGTGACTGACTGGCATCAACTGAGTGACCTTGTGCAATTGAGGTGGCCCACCCTTTGGGGCTTGGTGGTATATAGACTGTTTCACATAAAACATAAGAATTGGAGAATTCTAGTTGCATTATCTAGCTTCTTTACTGTAATGAATATTTAAGCATTTGAAAACTCATTTTTCCTTTTTGAAACCTCTTAACAAAAGCTGCTATTTTTTGATTGCAAAAACAACATTTGTTCTTCATGGCAAATTAGCAGAAAACTAAAAAGTGAACAACGAATCAACCATAATCCCTACCCAAAGATAACCGCTATTAACATTTTTTAAGGTGTATCCTTCCAGCCTCTCTTGTGTCTGTATAGATATGCTTACACTTTAAAAACAAAATCGGGACCTATGTTGTTTGCTGATAGATAGTATTTTATTAGATAAAAGCCTTTGCTCTTGGTGGGGCTGTGGTAAAAACAGCAGCATGGTGCAAAGAGCCCATCTCTGAGAGTGAGCAGACCTAGGGGTTTTTGGGTCACCTTGTGAGATGGGAGTTGTTATCACCATCTTATTATTATCTTAGCTTGGCCACTAATAGCTTGCTTGGTGATCTTGGACATGTCACATAATTCCTCTCAGTCAAGGTTCCTCATATAAGAAAATGAGATCAGAAAACTAGATAACTTCTTAAGGTTTAGCTTTAAATTGTCAGACTATGACAGATGGTAAGCATTTAATAGGAAATATATTTTAGTTTCTCCTCACTAAAATGTTTTATTATAAAGATTTCTGTATTACTGTGTCCTTCATTTTCTGTTCCCCTTTCATCATGTATGACTTGTACCTCGCAGCATTTTATTACATTCTTAACTTTCTAGTTTTACTTCAATTAAATTGGCCACTTCATCTTCAACTCTAATCAGTCATGTAATATAAGCCATGTCATGTGTTTTTTGAATTAGTTATATAAAAACTGTTTTTAACTGAGTCTGCAGGATTCCTGGTTCTTGCTTTGCATGTGAACCCGGATCGGTGGTTTTCTTCCCTCGCTTCGCATCAGAACTTCGGGGCACCTTTACTTCCTACTTGTGCCCAGGGGCTCCTCCAAATGAATTAAATTAGAATCTGGAGTTGAGACCCATGCCCTGTGCCACATTTGTTTTTGCAATCATTGGCTAGTTTTCTGTAGTTTAGAGCATAGATATACTGACTTGATTTTTTTTCTCTCATCATATTATTGAGACCAGAAGTAGAAAAGACCAAACACTGTAAGCATCTGCCTTAATTTGTAATCCTTTGTTCCTTCTATGCTACCAAGTTAAATTGTGAAGGTTCCTTAGGCCCAAAAGGCTGTTTCCTTTATCCCTGTGGTTAAATTATAGAATTGTTTTTCAACTTGTAAATACAAATTCTTTTGGAGTAAAAATGTTTCTTTCTGGATTTTTTAAAAAGTCTTTTAAATTTCAGTTTAAAAGTTTTTCAACTCTCTCCTGATACTGTCAATCTAACAATTTTGTTTTACTTTCAACTAGGAGCAAGATTATCATTAATAATTAAGCTCTGGGTAATTCCCAGTTTTATTTTAAGCAGTGATGCTAGGAAGAAAAATAAGAGGCTCAAATTAAAGTAGAACCTATCTAATGGTGTCTTTGGGGCAACCTCAGTGTTAAAATGGGACTAAGGAACTGCAAATGACTTAAATAATAGTACCTGCTGCCAACTCAGTGCATTACTTACAGAGAATTTTTAATGAGGGCTGTTTCATACATCCCATTGTGTTTAAATAGTATAACTGTAAACAGTTGTATGATACCTAGCAGTTTACTGACTACTGCTTAGTAGATTATCATATTTGAACCTCCTAATGACCTTGTGAGATGAGTGTTACCACCTCCATATTAAGAAGTATGGAATCTGAATCTGAGGAGGGATAAGTGACTTGTTCAAGCTCACTCAGATACCTGAATTCAGCTTTTCTGCTTCAAGCCTCTGAGTTTTCACACTTTACGGCAACTAATTATAAAATCAGTCAAAGTCAAACACAAGTCTGTTTCATGTAATACACTCCAAAGTCAAAAGACCCCTCTTTTATTATGCATCATTAGCTTAAAATGGTATTGCATATTCTGACCATAGAATCATTGGGGTCATATTTGTCCTTTTCTTTGGAATAAATTAGTCAAGTGCAGTTACTGAATTTATGGAGGGCCAGGAATAATGGGTTTGAGTTATGCAAGTAATAGTATAGCATACAGTTTATTTTATAGTAGAGGCCTACATATGATAAAGATTATCATAAAGAAAATGAGTTTTTAATTAAGCTAAAAAGGGTTATGATTGATAATAGAATTACAAAAAGGTTCTACAAGTCCTATTCCTCGTTTAGTGTACTAGCTCACACGATAGGTGGTCACAGATGTCGAAGATAATCACAACAGAATTCTAATTAAATTCTCTTATATGTAACTTCTCACGAGCTTGCCCCTCAATAACTTTAATTTAGATTAGGATATAAAACAATTGGTGATTTAATTAATTCTCCAGGCCCACATTCTCTAGTGTGAGTGAGTCAAAGTTTCAGTCTTATTTGGGGAAAAGGAGATAGTCAAGTTGGGACAAGCCTTTGACTGCCTTGTGATCATTTGATACTTTCTTAATTCACTGTATGATGTACATTTTGTTTGTAGTAATTGGTCTATTTCCTGAGAATCTAGCACATGAAATATTTCTCTCCTTTTCTTTTTTCACCTATATTTTCATACTAAATATTTTTTGTAAAAGCCTGGGTTTGTGATTGTTGTTACCTTTAAATTTTTATAAATACTTAAAACTTTATGTTATTCCTAAATCCTCTGATTAGTTGTTTTTACTGTTTCAGTTCTAGGTACAGACAGGGTGGAGCAGATGACCAAAACTTACAATGACATTGACATGGTTACACACCTCCTGGCTGAGGTAGGAATATATCTTCTTTTTCTACGGTACAAAAAGCTAAAACTTGAAAATCATTTAGAATTTACACACCAAATGAAAAATGATGATGTTTTTCCTCTGGCTTATTTTGTATAAGGTTGTTATAACTAGAGCAACTGGCATACCAAAGTCAACAGTTTCTGAGGTTTATTATTATGAAATTGTGGAAGACTTAATTTTTTGTTGTTATTGTTATAATGATGCTGGTTGCCTTCTCTGTCCTAGAAAAACAATCTTTAAAAAAATTTTTTTAATAAATCCCTGTTGTCACTCACCTTGAAACAGAACTGCCCATTCAAGAGACAGCTCCGTTATAAATCAACACCAACAGTTTGGAGCATCTTCCATTTTCTACTTTCAGTCTAAGCTATTATTTGAGCTCACTTTGTCCATGACAGGCTTTTTAGTATGTGTAGTGTATCTTTTCCAAGTGGTGGTCTTAAAGGTCTCTCCATATGCTTCACTTTCAATTGATCTTATAGAAACTGTCCTTCTCTTTGAAGAAAACTTCTCCCCATACCCCTCTTACCCCCTGCAGCTCCCCAGAATGATTTTGTATATCCCACTTAGCCTATATCGAAAATGAGATAAGTGGGCCTTGAAAATTTAGAGATAATCCATCCACCTGTTTTCATGTTGCTATGGAGCAAATAAGAATAGGGAGCTTAATTTTATTTATAGTGATTAATGTAAGCTGAACCCCTACTCATATACTATAAGGCACTTACATGTATATTGACAGTTTTCCATCCTACAAAGTACTGTCCTCACCGCCACCGTATAGATGGGATTCCTGTGCAATTGCTAAGTATCACCATTTACCCAGAGAGAGTAACTCTTGCCTTGCTTGACTTTTCTGTAGGCCTCCCTGCATCATTACCTCCAACTTGTGCAGACTCCCTTCTTCTCTTACTCTAAGAAGGACCCTATAGCCTCAAAACTTCCAGTCTGTTATATTCCCTGTTTTATTTCACAATAAGATTCTTACACTAGTTGACAACAGGGCTCTTGATTATGCTTTCCTCTAAGCCTCTGGCTCTGAATGCTTATAAGCTTTGCCCTAATTGGAACTGTTTTCAAGATGCCTATTGTATCATGCTTGATAGACAAATGCATTCAACAAATATTTATTGGACTTTTACTTTGTGTCAGGCCTTGTCCTCCTTTTTAAAGGCTATATTGATTTTCTAATTCACCATAGTCATAAGTTTGAAGGTTGGGTTGCTGTATCCTAATTAATAGGGTAATCAATAAATCTCACTTGATATCAGGAAAAGAAATGCCAACTATGGTGGTCATCCATTTAACCAACATACCATTTGTGTGTCAGACTCTGTATTCATTTGTGTGTATCTGGGCATTAAAATGGATCTTGATGCTTTCTGGGACATTGTTTTGAGTTTAGCAAAAATGACTACAGAATTTCTAAACTACCGTTTAATTTTGTTTGTACTCAAAGAGAAGATGTATTTGGTATTTTAACAGAGAGATCGTGATCTGGAGCTAGCTGCTCGAATTGGACAAGCTCTCTTAAAGCGGAACCATGTCTTGTCTGAGCAGAATGAAGCCCTGGAGGAGCAATTGGGACAAGCCTTTGATCAAGTAAGTCTTGGATCAGTTATTTGCAGCATGAAACAATTAGGTCTTGGGCAATGAAGAATTTATTTTCCTGGCTCTCCCTGAAGTGAGGACGGTAGGTAGAAAAGTAACACCAGCACGTGTTGACTGTTGGTATCCATCGAACTAACCAGTAGAGAAATGAAATGTTATTGTACAGAGGAGTACTCATATGACTCTATCTTGGCCTATATTTAGTACCTACAGCATCGTCCTTAGATTCTAACTCTTTATCCCACCCCTCTGTGTAGGCTTTGTGTGTGATTTTATCTTAAATTTATTAAAAAATATGTATATCCCCAAATAAAATATCTTTTTATTCAAAAACCCAAACAAAAGGAAAACAAATTTTTGAAAATATGTTATCCATAGCAATAAGTATTTTTGGTGAGAACTGATTTGTTACTTACTTGAACGGTTACACTTCAAATTTTCCATAACTTGTTATTATCTGGTTTCATTTATATTTTATAAAAGCCTCATGTTTAATAACATTCAAGCCTTTGCTTTGAAAGTATTTATTCCCTAGAACTAAAGTTGAGAAGTCATGTAGAGTCATACAGCTTAGAAGTACAAGCCTTTGGTTGAGAATTTGAAGTAAGGCTCTATTCTGATACTCTGAAGTTTCTTCAGTTTTGTTTTGAACTGTGAATGTGTCATTATCTTGTGTGAAATTTTCCTCCTATATCCCTATTATAAACAATATAAAAATTGACTTTTCTTTTCACCTAGTTTAGAAAAAGCTGTATTTGTTGAGTTAATGCTCTAAAATTGTAGATTAGGAGGTATCTGAGGTTTGTTTTCTCTTTTTAGCCCTTGTTACTTGAGTCAGTAAAACCTAGAAGCTGATTTTGCGGTTTTGTTTTATGGTGAGAAGCAATGGCTCTGTGAATTAAATGCTATATTACTTGTAAGCAATGCAAAATAAAGGCCATCTTGTAAATCAAGACCTTTTGATGTGCAGGTTAATCAGCTGCAGCATGAGCTCTCCAAGAAAGATGAGTTACTTCGAATTGTCTCCATTGCTTCTGAAGAGAGTGAGACTGATTCCAGCTGTTCTACACCTCTTCGGTTCAATGAGTCCTTTAACTTATCTCAAGGTTTGCTGCAGTTGGATATGCTGCAGGAAAAGCTCAAGGAACTGGAAGAAGAGAACATGGTTCTTCGATCGAAGGTACAGTCAACTTATTCCTACTTTCTTTTACCTTAAAGGTTTAGGTCCAGATAGTATTCGGGGGAAATAAGGCATAACTAAGGATTTGCTATTGACATTCCAATTAGGGGATGGCAGCCATGGCACATGCCTTCCATTGTTACTTAGATCCCACTGAAAAGTGGATAATAGCAAGCTGACAGATGAAGCAGAGAAAGCCACAGCATGGAATATGTATCTTGTGGAGTTTGCACAAATAGCTAAGTAATTACAACTGTGATAAGAACTCTGTTGGAAAATTACAGTGTTGCATGAGCTTGTATAATGGGGGTGGGAGGAATCAAACAAGTCTTACTTAAGCAAGTGACGTTTTAGCTGTAGCTGTAGATTAGCCAAACAGAGATGTATGGTGGAGGGGAGGGGCTGGGGGTGGAGATGAACAGGCACACTGCAAAGGCCCTGAGAGGAACAAGGGGGAGATGTTTGTCATGTCCTTTTCCTTATCCTTTGTTTTATGATAGGTAAAATTTTATGGGTTTTTTTCCCTTTGTAAGTGATGAACTTTTATCTTCAAATGAGTACTAAAGGGTTTTTTAGTTAATACTGTAAAATCATTAGAAGATATTATCACATACTGATTTTTTTTTTTCCCGTGGAGGCTTGTCACATAAAGACAGAAACTATTACCTATGAAGAGAAGGAACAGCAGCTTGTTAGTGACTGTGTTAAAGAACTTCGTAAGTATTAACATATTCTCTTTTGTAGCTTCTGGGCAATTCATTGGGGTGACTCAGAAATTAGATCAATGGTTTCAGTAGAAGCATCTTAAGAAACAATTTTAAATAATTACTGAAAATCTCGGAATATCACATTGAGCCTACAGCTCTATATAAAATGCCATTTGTACTTTTAAGAAGTATCTTTGTTTCAAATTGTCATCATTAAATAAAGACCTATATTTCTACCTGTTATAGCATGTTAGAATGAAAGGAACCAAAGCTCTTATTTTGTTGATGAGGATATAGTTCTATAGAGAATATGATTTGCTGAAGTCAGAAAACTGTTAAGTAGCAAAGCTAGGGCTTAAATGATGGTATAAGACATAACAATCAATGAGTATTAAGTGCCAGCTCTGTGTCTATAAAGAAATATAATTTAGTTTCATTGTATTGTTAACTAAAATAATTTTTAAAAAATCAGTTGGAAAAAGATCAGCTTTACTAGAGAAAAAATTTTAATCTCTCTATAAATATAAACCGTTTTGTGTTAAAAGAAGATATGACATCATCATATCAAATCATTTGGGCTGTGGGCCTCAGAATGTGGTACCTTCTACAGAATATTAGAGAACCAGAAGGAATGTAAATTGAATCTTCTCCATCAGCTCCATCATTACCCACCTTTTACACTTTAAAAAACAAAAAGAAATGACTTACCCAGGAGCTTGGATCTTGATTTCTTGCCTCCTTATTGCCATCCTTTGAAATATTATAGACATTCTATCCATTGAAAAATAGTTGTATATAGCACTGAGAAATAGTTTTGCCACTTGTTTAGATGTCAGAGTTTTTATATGAAATAAGGATTTATCTCCCCAATGGAATTCTACAGCATGCCAGAATGCTAGACTGTAAGAATTGCTTTAGAAGCCCTACTCAAGCACACGCTCAGCATGCATGAGGTCCTGGGTTCAATCCCCAGTACCTCCTCTAAGAATAAATAAATAAACCTACTTACCCCCCCCACAAAAGAAGCCCTACTCAGTTTGCTAGGTATCCCAGAAAGTCTCTCTCCTACATCTCAGTAGGAGAAGCATCTCAGTAGCTTTAACAGATTGTGACTGCTCCATTCTGGGAATATTCTTTTGTTAGATTTGTTAAGCTTGATTTTCATTTCTTTTGGGATCTTATTTATGTCCCTGAAGAGTTCTCAAAGACAGAAGCGTCTCGGCACTTGCAAAGACAGGTAATTCACCTATCTCTTTTCAGCCTTCTTGTCCTTCATAAAGAAGAGTGAGGCAAAATCGTTAGCTTGCTTGCCTTTACAGGTCATCTCTTCTTAGCTTCGTTGCCTCCTGTTAAATTCCCAGCATTAACCTATTTCCGAAGAACCTTTAGTTTTCTCTATTGAGTGATCCAGTTTTATTTTAAATTTATGTTAAAGCAAAATCAATTTGTGATAGTCCAATGCTTTTTACAAAGCAGGATTTGTCCCTTAGGCCATAGTTTGCCAGCCTCTGCTCTACATTTATATTCAGTTTTATTTCTGTTTTGTTTTCAAGGTGAAACAAATGCTCAGATGTCCAGAATGACTGAAGAATTGTCTGGCAAGAGTGATGAACTGATTCGATACCAAGAAGAGATCTCCTCTCTCTTGTCTCAGATTGTAGATCTTCAGCACAAAGTTAAAGAAGTAGGTTCATTCATTCAACAAAAGCACTGACCTAGTGCTTTATACTCTGCCAAGTGCTAGATGCATTAAGCAAAATAAGCATGGACCCTGCCCTTTTACAATGCTTCAGTCTGATTGCTGTTTTATTCTTCTGCCATGAAATAGTGTGAATGACTACTTTAAAATCACTATTTCTTTCCTTAAAATGGGGTTAGATTTTCCTCAGAAAGTGCGATGTCAATTCCTGACTCATGCTCATTGTCCTCTGAACACCTTGATGGAGTTGGTGGTCTGCCCATTTTATTGTGCTTATTTGGCTTTTGAAAGGTTAGCTTTTGATAGTCCTCTGGACTATGTCCCTGAAAGATTCTTAAGATGGCTTAAAAAGAGAGAGCGTAGCCTGTATTTTATATGGGAAGGTTTCACATGTCTCTTTTAATATGTTGTTAGCATGTGATTGAAAAGGAAGAACTGAGACTTCACCTCCAAGCTTCCAAAGATGCCCAAAGACAACTGACGATGGAGGTAATGGAATCTTCCTTTATCTTGTGTGATATGGGAAGGGAGGAGTGAATAGTTTCTCTTTTCTTTGTGAATAAGAATGATTGAAGGTGATTACCAGATGTAAAACAACAGCAAAAGATTAAGATGAAATTATAAGATCTAAGAAGTGAAAATTTTAAAAAATTCTATCTCTGAAACTAATAACATGACAACATCCTTCTTGATTAATTGGGGAAATCTTGACTTTTATAAGATTCTTTAGGAATATGTGACCCTTTTACCAATCTACTTTAACCCAACAGTTTTTAAAATAAGATACTTTATAATAATAATAATAACAATAACAATAATAATAATAATACCTGGTTTTATACTATATATGTCCGGAGAAATAGCAAAAATCTCTTACTTTCTATCTACATAAAAATCTTATATATTAGATATAATTTAGTGGTTCCTTAGTACGTATAAGAATTACCTGGCAGAGTGAGGTTTTTTTTTTCAACGTAAGTTTCAAATAGAGATTCCTAAGCACCATCCCCAAAAGTTTCTAATTCAGTAGGTCCAGAGTGAAGGCCTAGACTCTGCAATTTTAATAAGCACCCTTAGCTGTAGTGATACTGCTGACACAATCAACATACCACACTTGAAGAAATTTTTGAAGTTAAAATGCACGCTGAAAATTGTGTACTTTTTTTTAACATGCTTGTGTATCTAACTATAAAGAAGATTCTGAAACAAGAGAGAAGTAACTGCTTGTTTAGGATAACTGAGCACCCTGACATCATATACAATACTTTGTAGACTTGACCTTGTCATTTATAGACTTAGAAGGATGTTTAAAAACGTACGTATCTAATATTAAGCTAAACTAAGTTGACCATAGCTATTATACTTCTTCTATATGTTTTTCTTTAATTTTTATTTATTTATTGTTTTTGTTTGTTAATTTGTTCCCTGGGGGAGGTAATTAGGTTTCTTTGTTTATTTTAATGGAAGTACTGGAGATTGAACCAGGAGCTTGTGCGTGCTAGGCACGCACTGTACCACTGAGCTACAGCCTCCCCCGTCTCTGTAAGAATTTTAAGGGTAGGAAACATTAAATATTGAATTGACAATTATGGTTGTCTCAGCTACATTTCAGATTTTTAGGAAATCACATTTATGTATAATTCTGGCCAAGATACCCTAATTCTGGCAGCATGAAATAGATATACCTTCCTTGCTTGATTTGTTTCAGTCTTTGTGTTAAAATTATATTCATAAAGTTAACTAGTCCTGTGGATAAAATTAATTCTTAGCCCAATGGGTTTTTTGCCACCATTGTCATTTTGAGAATATAATAAAGGACACTAATTACCATCCTTTCTTTCAGCTGCATGAGTTACAAGACAGGAACATGGAGTGTCTGGGAATGTTACACGAATCCCAAGAAGAAATAAAGGAACTTCGGAGTAGATCTGGCCCTGCTGCTCATCTCTACTTTTCCCCGTCCTATGGAGTTTTTCCTGGGGTAAGGAATGAGAAAGATGTTATGTATTTTAGGGAAACTTGTTTAAGGCTAGATGGTCCTGAGGGTAATATGGCTTCTGATGGTGTAAAGCATCTTGAACAGAGATAATGTGTTTTGTCCCTGTTTCTGGAATTCAAGGAATTTAGGCCTTTATTTGCATATCTATATCTACCTTAATACTCCTATTTATTGCCTTTCTTCTAACAGTTAACCTTTTAGATTTATTGTAATATAAAGATGAACCCTAAGGAAATTAGGTTTGGGTCTGTGTACCATAGAGCTACTTAAACTTGGGTCATCCTTGCCCTAGGCCCACCACATGCCACTTTCTCAAATAGTGCAGTGAACATGTAAAACCACTTTTAATGATCTTGAGTCTCTTCGAATATTTAACTTCAGTTACAATGTAAGCTCCATAAGGCAGGAATCATGTTTATTTAATTCATCAATAAATGATTTTTTTGAATTAAAGAAATTCATGATAACTTCTGAGTTTATGCCAGAATTTGTAATGTTGATTCAAAGGGTTGTTTTAACAATCTAGCTCTTAAACACTTCTGTGCAATTTTTTTAAGGACCGAAACTATAAATTATAATAGATTTTCTGAAGAATATAGAGGCAGAATTTTTGTTTAACTTTTAATTTGAAATAATTTTAAACTTAGACTAATGTTCCAACAATAAAACAGAAAACTCTCATGTATTCATCGCCTAGATTCCTCAAGTGTAACATTTTACTACATTCGCCATATTGTTCTCTTATTTTTTCTGGACCATTTAACAGTAAGTCACAAATACACGGTGTTACTCCTTAATACCTCAGTGTGTATTTATTAAAAACAAGGACACTCTCCTATATAACCACAAACAACCGTCAACTTCAGGAAATTGACTCTGATACAGTCCTATCACTGTCTCCTCCACAGAGCCCATTTAAATTTTGCCAATTGTCCCAACAGTGTTCTTTGAAGGATACATTGCATTTGGTTGTTTTAATCAGACAATTCTTATGTCTTTGCTTTATCTTTCATGACCTTTTAGAATGTCCTTAATTTGGGTTTGTCTGCTGTTTCCTCATGATTAGATTGAGGCAATGCGTGTTTAGCAGAAATAATGCCATGTTCTTCTCAGTACATTGTATCAGAATGCACACATTGGCCATTTATCCCATTACTAATGATATTAGTTAATTTTGATCACTTAGTTAAGGTAGTATTTGCTAATTTTTTCCACCATGATCAATGTTAACTAATAGTTAATTGAATTAATGTTACTGATTAACTTTGCAATGAAGAAAATTGGCAGATACTACCTTAAACAAGTGATCAAGTTACTATTTTGGGGGGAGATATTTTAAGGTTATTTAAAGCTCCTGTTTCTCATCAGACTTTTACCCACTAGTTTTAGCCATTGATGGTTTGTGTCTGACTCAGTTATTACTAGAATGATTGCCAAATGATGGTTTTCTAATTCCATACTTTTTCAACATTTATTCATTGGCATTATTTTGTAAGTTAGAGCTTTTCTGCTTCATTTATTTATTCATTTGTTCACTTATGTTAGTATACACTCATAGATTTCTATTTTAGCCAATGGATTATAATCCATTATTACTAATATTTATTTTGATACTTAAATTGTCCCAGATATGGCCAGTGGGATCTCCTTCAAGCTCATCTTGCCTTTTCTCTGTCCCAGTCTGGAATCAGCCATTTCTCCAAGGATCTCTGGTTACTTTTAATGAGGAATGATGTTTGGAATCCAAAATCTGGGTGCTAGGTGTCCGTTGCCACTAGAGTGTCATTGCTACCAGACCCTCTCAGCAGGTAGAGCTAGGAAATACACGTGTGTTCGTATGTACAAGAACACATCTATATCTATCTTTTCATTCATATCCATGTTTGTTTATAGATAAATAAACATATATTTAAATAAATATATAGAAAATAAATATAATACATATATAAAATCATAAGTTCACACCCATACCTCCAATTCTAGTCATTGTCAGCTCAGCCCCACTGAGCATGCCACGCATGCCAGTTGACTCTTCATTCCTGACCAGAGAAAGGGAAAGCTTGCTTATTTTTCTTTTAACGATTTTCTATGTTATAAAAGCTGTACATGTTTATTATAGAAAAATTAGAAATTACAGAGAAGCAAAAATAGTTAAATACCATCAAATCCTGACCTCTGCAGAATCACTATGAACATCTTGGTTTATAGCATTTCATACTCTTATTTTTGTGTGTCTACAAATGTAGTATTTTCTATTTACCATAATTGTTTCTTCCCCACTGCTTTCCTGTAAAAATATACCATGAAAAAGTAGTTGGTACTTTTTAAAAGTTACATTTCTAGAATGTCTCTTTTTTTCCCCCTGCATTTTAGCCTGTGACTATTTTCTTATGTTTTCTTTCATTATAACACCAAAAGTATTGGATTCTGGAAACTGTTAATTAAAGACAGTTCATTTCCCCCAACAGGATTCTTAGGTAATCAGTGTAGTAAACTCAGGCTTTTTTTCTTAGGAATCTCTGGCAGCTGAGATTGAGGGGACCATGCGTAAGAAGCTGAGTTTGGATGAGGAATCTTCTCTCTTTAAACAAAAGTAAGTACAAATCGCATGTGTTGTTACTCAACCATTGAGATGGAAATTAAAAAGAAGCCACAGTCCAAAGTGACTGATATTTTGAAATTCAGTAGTAAATCTGCTTACTGTTTAATTTTTCCTCATAGTGTTCACATTTGTGAGAGCGTTCTCCTGTTCTGAAATTTAGTTTCTAATGATTTCTTCTAAACTTTAGAGGCTCTTCAGGGTGGCTTTATTTTTAATGAACTGCGCATATGTATCTCTTTTCTGAAGCACTCCAGTGGTAGGCAGTGGTAATAATGAACACTTCTTTTTTGACAGAGCCCAACAGAAACGGGTATTTGATACTGTCAAGGTTGCCAATGACACACGGGGCCGCTCTATCTCATTCCCAGCTCTGCTACCCATTCCAGGCTCCAACCGTTCAAGTGTTATCATGACAGCAAAACTTTTTGAGTCTGGTTTACAACAAACAGAGGACAAAACAATCCTAAGCCAGGGGAACAACTCGGAGGAGGTTCCAGGGTAAGAAACATAGATTCATATACTCGAATTCAATCATTGCTCTGTGCTATCCCAAGGAAGTTCTGAACTGTCAGTTTTCATTCAGTAATGACTCCCTGTATCATTATTTGTAAGGCAGGTCATTGGAGTGAAAAAGCTACATTTAATTTAGTGTATTCTAAATAGAGTTTGTATTGAACTATAAAATTCTTTGCTGCTTCCTTCTTTGGTGTGGCAAAATTTGGGTCTAAATCTTCGTGTTCAAAGTTAAATTTGTTTGCATCTCTTTGGTCATTGGCAGTTATACATAGCATTGGATGACACTTTCTCTTAATTCATGCTCATAATCTCAGCTGCTTTGGTGCCTTTAGGATACACAATAATCTTGAATACCTATTGAGGAAAACTAGATTGCTCTTAATTTCCTATTTGTTTAATTTTAGATTTTTTTCCTGCTTTTCATTAATTCATTTCATTGAATTACATAGAACTAGAAATTAAAGAGGATTACTGGAAAGTCAGCTGAAGGCTTTGAAAGTTAGATATTTGGCACCTGAGAGAAGTCTTTCCTCATGCAGAAATCCATTACCCTGGGTTTTTTATTGTATTGCCTGGTCTGTAGCAGGTAGCTTCTGCACCCACAGTAGCCTTATGTGTCAGTACTGCCTCACTGTACGCAGTTACCTTAAGAGAAACAAATCTATGTGAATTCACACATAGAATAACTAAAACTTGGCTTGCTACTCTTTCTTCTGATATCAGTGATAAGATACCACCAATTTTTAAAATGTGGAAAAGTGAAAAACTATGTATTACAGAACTATGAAAATGCAGTATTTACAAATCTTGTTTTTTGTTTGTTTTGACTTTTCAATGCATGTTTATTGAATAAATGAACTTCTCAAATGCTGATATCTCAAAAACATTATGAAAACTGGTCTCAAAAATTTGTGTGTTCATTTGCTTCTTTATTAATAGTCTCCTATAGTCTGCAACATGTTCTTTTTTTAACTTTTATACAATTTTTAAAGGTTACTTTCCACTTAAAACAGTTATTACAAAATATTGGCTATATTTCCAGTATTGTACAATACGTCCTTGAGCCTATCTTATACCCCATAGTTTGTATCTTCCAGTCCCCCACCCTTATATTGCCCCTTCTCCCCCTACTGGTAACCACTAGCTTGTTCCTATATCTGTGAGGCTAATTTTTTTTTTATTATATTCACTAGTTTCTTGTTTTTTTTTAGATTCCACATATAAGTGATATCATACAGTATTTGTCTTTCTCTGTCTGACTTGTTTCACTTAGCATAATGCCCTCCACATTCATCCATGTTGCTGCAAATGGCAAAATTTTGC